GTACAGGCACAGAGGTGGCCAAAGTGCTTTTTTTTTTGTACAAATAAAGAAAAGTACCAGCGATTAGAAAAAACAAGATGGCTGCCACAGCTAATTTTAAATGGCTTTAATTGTTCTGTTTTTAGAAATTTTCAGCTGAAATTTGGTATGAAAGTAGCTCAGGATGATCCAAAGAAGATGCTGAATGCTAGTCACAACATATTAGTCAGCTGTTCTTAGACATACAACGCTGAAGGTCAGCGTAGAACAAGCCAAAAACAAATGACCAAATTCTAAATGTTAATAAAACAATTCAATAATTCTGTGTCGATTGTTGACGCTAATCTGAAATTAAGTTGACCACTGAAGATCACCAAATTCAAACTGCTGGGCATTGAATTAAACAACTTATTATCCTTGTAACATTCTATGTTCCATATCCACAGTCAATCAGCCTTGCCGCACCCTCATAACAATCACTACTCATCCATTTCACCTGCTTCATGGAGCAGCTAACCCTACAACAGTATTTAGCTCTTCTGTTGGAAAAAGGTAAACCATGTTTTTGTTACTGGATTAGCATTAATTCTATAATCCTGTTACAGAAAAGAGGTACATTTCCAACCGTGTCTAGTTAACAGACAGCGTTATCCAGCTGGGTTAAATGTTGATTGATGAGGGTCTTATTATCACAGACTTCCTTCGACTAACCAAGCGGTTGTAATTAAATTGTTAAAGTGCAGTAACCTCTTTTCACTGTGCATTAGTGTTATCCTCACACAGGTTAATCTGGATCCTCACTTTCCAATACCGTGATGTAACAAGACGTAGTTCTCCCTCCTGGTTTTATTGATCCAATTCAGCGTGATTTCCATCTGACCGTTGGCTTCAGACCCACTAGCCGGGTGCCAAACAGACAGACGGTTGGCGATACAGGAACCGGAGCCAGAGATACCGCCACACAAAAGTTCTGCTTATCTCAGTGTGAATACTGCTGGACCCAAATCCAGACTGAAACAGCTCCATGCTGAGAGGATCCTGGGATGAGTGGCACTTAGAGGCAAATTACAGCTGTGGTTCTTGTTGATCAGTCTGATCTGAGTGTCTCTGTGTAATTACAGTGTGGACCCAAAGAATGTGAAGCAAAATGAATGACATCAATTAGATGTCTTTGAAGGAATTCATATAATCTGTAGCCAAGACTTTTATTAAAAAAACTATGGATATGATAGTTTTGTTCAAATAAAACCAGTGTAGAAAAGAAATAATTGAGATTTTAAGAATCAGATCAGAAAATCAATAGAAAATGTATTTTTGGATAAAAAATAAAAACAAACCTTCAAAGTGTTTTATGTTGCATGAAATCACATTTTTTTGTGTTCTTTTTTTTAGCTCTTTTCAAAAACGTTTGACAGATCAAAGAAATGCCCCCAGCTTGTGTATGTGTTTCTTTTATCTTTGTGTTCATTTGAATGTTCAAAATGTTTTCTAAAACAAAAAGCAGTTGAGTTATGCATTATTTTGTAGATATATAATTAAATACTAAACACTGAGCCTTTGTGAGGTTCTGCATATTTTCAGATCTGTCCCGAGCATCCATGTGTTGATTTAGAATCATGATGCTTGGGGAGATTTTTCCTGTGGATTGCTCCTGCTCTGCCCAACATGCACCGAGTTCTGTTTCTGTAACCATGTGGAACTAATTCACAACCAATCTGGGTTCCTGTGTGTGTTGGCTCAGTGTGACATCATGCCTGCCATGGACTCGCAGTGGACGGCAAATGGTTTTATGAAAAATAATCCAAAATATCTCCTACCTTCTTTCTTGGGTTATCAACAAACCTCCACTAATCTTAATAAAAATATATAACTACTTATAGATTTTTACTAATAAAATACAAAAATAAAAAACATAAAAAAACCTTGGCAGTTGTAATTACATTTTAAAAAGTGTAATTAATGCAGCTTGTTCAATAAAGTCACCACTTAATTCCCAAATTAAACAAAATACACAAGCTCACTGCAGGTCCTTGTCAGTTTGCGCCCTAGGCAAAATTTCAGGTGGGAATCCTTCAGCAATTTTCTAAATGCCACTGCCAATTTACAAAGCAAATTAAATAGTTTTGTCTTTGATGTTTTTTTTAATCTTTAGAAAACAGGTCCTTCAATTAAAATAGTCAACAATAAAATTAGTTTGAAACAGAACATCAGAAATCCACATCATTCCTGCCAACGTCTGCTGACTGCAACGAGGAACACATGTTCATGTTAATGAGCAGCTGTGGAGTGAAGCAGTTATAGGAGGGGGGCATTTTGTAAAAGATCTACTCAGTCCTTTTTTTCCAGAAATTCTTCTGGATTAATAAAACAACATAAAATCTGTATTTTATGAAGGCAGAACACTGAAAACCAGACTTTATCTGAGATCAGAACTGAAACTTCCATTATCTTTATTTTGTTTTCCTATTTACACACACTGACCACCAGCATTTAGTCTTGACTGCATCCTATTATACTTTTATCATAAAATATCCTTTGCACCATGTAATGATAAAATGTTAGAAAATGTTTTTCATCCCCATTTTGCGCCCCCCACCCAAGGATGTGCCCTTGGCACTTGCCTATACTGCCTATGCCGCTGGCAGACCCTGTCTCAAATCTTATCTGAGTTGATTTAAAACCTAAAATGTGCCAAAACAAAGGTACTAAACCCAGCTTTGATGTTCCAGATTGATTTGATAATGCTTCTAAGAATAAAGTCTCCCTCCAGTGCAACAAACATGAATCAGAGCTGCGTGGCTTTTGTTTGAAACAAACCTTTCAGACGCATAATGAGAAAAATCTCCAGCTGGTCTTGAATTATCATCAAGGAACACTCATGTCAAAACGCTGTTAGAGATGTTGCTTTGAGCTGATGCTGAAACAAGATACGAAGCCTCAGACTGATGCCGATAGATTCAGTTTACTGATCACACACAGGTATCAGTCCAGAAAACAGATTCTATCTCTTTTTGATCTGCGGAGTAAATCTCTCAATTCGGCTGCAACTATTGCAGCAATTCAATTATTTACAATTATTTTTTTCTTTAATTCACAACCAGATGATAAATTCTTAATTTGGTGTTTTGTGTTAAGGACACTTTACTATCCTAACACAGCTAATGATCCCACTGCATGTTGAAATTACATCTTGGCATGCTTTCGGTGCGTTCTCTTCCCTCACACATGTCGTGGTGCTTTGCTGTTGCTTCAGGGAGCAGTTGTGTGTTTGTGTAGCGAGCCATCTCAGCTTTTTTGGCAAAGATTTTTTTCTTCTTTTTTGCTCCGGAAATGTAAAACAGGCAACGAATAAATAACAGGGCTGGGTATTTATATCTGTGCTGCATAATTTCAGCTACATAAATGTCATCTCTTTGTTTTATTTTTTGCTCTCACTCTTCACAAGTTTGCTCCATTCGACAACATTTGTCTGAATTCTTCTCTCTCCAGGCTCGCGTCAATCTTTTTCTATTTTTTTTCTTCCTTTACTTTTTAAAGTTGTCGTCCTTTCACATCCATGAACATCAGTCTTACACACACAGCTTTTATTCAGTGATTTAGGTCACTGACTGACTAAAAGACTACACACAGCTGGCCTATAAACCCTCCTTTCCAGTCTCCTCCCCTCAGTGTATCGTTCTCTCTCTCTCTCTCTCTCTCACCACACACACACACACACACACACACACACAAATGAATCACAATCTTTTCTGCTGTGCTCCCTCAGTGTTGTGATGCACATTTGATTTTCTGGTTCATCATGTGCATCTATGCAGCACCACGCACTCTGAGCCCGTCTTCTTTTAACTATTTGTAACTTTTGTTTCTACTTTACTTTCTAATGTTTCCCTTTTATGGCCAATCCTATAAGTTAACATTTGTGACTTAAACTAAAAGGATAATCAAAGGATGGTTAGAGCTCAGCTCACTCTGTATATACGGCGGATATACCCCCCAACCCCCAACCCATAATGTTTGACTCAAAATTTCTCCATGTTTTAATGATTTCTTTAATACCAATCTTTGTGCTGCCAGCGGGACTCAGATGGAGCGTCACTTGGCTTGTTTGTGGAGGCCATGTTTGTTTCCTTGGAATAAACAGAATTGCAATAGGACAATTTAACAAACAAACTGTCCATGCATGCAGGCTCTCTTCTCTCATTTTAATCTAATAATATGGCCACCGGATACAACAGAGAGAAAGAGAAATAGAGAGATAGACAGAGAGACAGAGAGACAGAGAGAAGCTTAATCACATAATCTCTATCCAATTAATTAATGACATCATTTTTTTTGTTAGAACAAATACATACAGTGTTTAGCCAGTTGGGCACCAGAGGTAATAAAAAAAGAGACAGAATAGATGTCAGGGAGAAAGGATCCCTGTCATATAATAAAAAAAAAAGAAAAACAATGCATGAACACAGAAAATGCTCAAGGAAAAAAAAAGTACTGAAACAAAAAAAAAAACACACACACACACATACATTATTTATATATATATATATATATATATATATATATATATATATATAAAATGAACAGCAAGAAAAATGTGTGGAACAGTGAGATGTAAAACACAAACTCAAAAAATGAACTGGAAATTGTAGGAACGTGTGCATTTTCCAAGTTAAATATAAAACAAATCTCTCACCTATATCTAGAAGAAAGAGTGTATCTTGTCCGTTGGACTCTGTTGGGATAAAAGCCCATCGCTGTGTCTGTTTAGTCTGAGCTAACCGATTTCAAAAGAGACATTTGAAGTTTACACATCAGGCAGGTTGTACTTTTTGACAATGTTACTTGCTGACAAATCCTAATGTTGATGCAGTGCTGAATAATGCTGAAAAAGTTCACCTCTTTAAGAGTTTCTTAGTGGACTCAGATGCAGGCACAGAGAGGAAACTAAAGCTGAAACTGGTGATTAGGAAGTGGATACAGGTGCAGCTAATTAGAAATATGGAACAGGTGGTGAAGTGAGGCTATGACAATGTGATGTGAAATCAAAACCCGAAAGTCTTAAATGCAGATGCATAAGTAAGAAAACCCAGGAAAGAAACTTTAGGCAAACTGGAACAAAAACCAGTCAAACAAAACTTAAACCAAAACACAACTAATCCCAGACTGTAGCAACATTAGTAGTAATAACTTTAATGGCTCAAAACATGGAAAACAAATCACAAACGGCACAATTGCCTTGCAGACACAAAAACAACAGAACCATGGATCCAGATTTATGTGGCAGGGACTTCTGAAATAAAATGAGCTAAATCAATAGAAAAATAATATTTTTAATGTGAAAGTTTAATGATGAAATGAGAACTCAGCTGCTGAATTTACAATCATGGCTCACAGGATGTACAAAAGCTACAGGTTGTTTCTAATTCTTATTATTTTTTAACCTGTTTTCTCTTGCCTTCCCACAGTTTTTCAATCTTTTCATCAAGCGAGGCGCGTTCCCGCTGAGAGGCGAGGCTCATTATTCATGGGTGCGCGATCCCGGCACGCGCTGGGCAGCTGTCGCCATATGCCCTCCTCTGTGTGTGTTTATGTGCATGGAGTGGGGGGGGGGGTGGCTTTTCCAGCAAGTGGCTCTTTTGTCGTTGAACTGTGAATGGTACACACACATGCACACACAGAAAATCAGTCCCACCTCTGTCACCTCTGCCCTGTGTTAAATATGCATCACTGCTGCATCACTTCCAACTTAGACAAATGAGCAGAAGGCTTCTGGCCACCTGCTGGTCTGATCAGGATCTCCCTGGTTTATGAGGGAGGAGGGGAGGAGGTGTTGGAGGGAGGGGGAACCCGGGGTAGACAGCCTGTGGCCTACCCCCCCCCCCCCATATTCCCCTGATGGGATGGATCAACAGTGAAGGCTGAGGGCAGGAGGCAATTAGGGGGGAGTGTTATATTGGAGGGGAAATGCTATGAGGACACAAAATAACCTCTGTAAAGGTTGTCCTTTGTTGTCGTCACTTTCCTTTGTGATATTTTTCTGTCTTATTCTTTGTGTGTGTGTGTGTGTGTGTGTGTGTGTGTGTGTGTGTGTGTGTGTGTGTGTGTGGACGGTTATTTCCTACAACGTGGGGTATTTTTTACAAAAAAAAAAGCAACCAGGTGGGGACCGAAGTGAATCGTGGGGAGTGGGGACCAATGTCAGGTCCCCACGGGTCCAAATGCATGTTACAGATGTGGGGTTAGGTTTAGGACCAAGGTTTAGGT